AAGAGAATGATGAAGATGTGAGTCAACCAAGTTTATTACACAATTCGAATGATATCTCCAATATCATGATGAAATATCATTTCCTGATTGGTGCAAACATTATAGCGATTTAGAATATTATTATCACGATTGAAATGAAGATCAGTTATAGTAGAGAACGACCATTTTACTTGATTTCCTTCTGTAATGTGTGTTTCAGAACGAAGGTGTTACTGATGAAGATGAGGATTCCGACGACTCCGTTATTTATGTTGAAGATGAGGAATCCGAGGGAGAGGCATATCTTGGTGAAGATCGTGAAGCAACAGTACTTCAAGTAAGATATCCTATCCCAAGATTGAATCTAGCGATTTTTTATATTCACATCCTTCTTTCAACTTTATTAGTTGAGCGGTTTTTTTTTTGCAGTATAAGAATGGAGATGCCATCTCTACGCTCCCAGACTTTGACAAGTTCCCCTTCTCTGATCGAGATTCGTCGATTTCCGCCACTCGTGCTTTTGCTTGGATGGTAGCACCTTGTGATGTACAGACATTCTTCAAGTGAGTGATTGTTTAAGTCCTTGCTGTTCAGCAATTGTATAACTTTCAGAGACTTTTTCCAATCGAGTGCTCTTATTGCGAAACGCAGCATGCCTAACTATTACTCAAACTTGTTCTCAGTCGACCGTTTAGTGGAACTCCTGGAGAAGGTGAGGTGATTTTAGAAAATTGTTTGTTTTTTGTGCAGCTATTTCCAAGGTTTTCAAGCGAAAAAGTTGAACACAATATCTTTCCCTTTTCAGAATCATCTGGAATACGGTCTCAACGTCAATATCGCCGAATACAAGAATGGAGTTCGTACTACACTAAATGGGACTGGTCGGGTGTATCCCAGTCATCTTAAAGAGCACCTTGCTGTAAGCCTATTTGATGGACATGGACATGAGATTGTTTTTTTTTCTCTATTTATCTCTGCAGCTTGGCCGATCCGTACAATTTGTCAATCCGGCTACCTTTGATGACCGCGTATGGTATTTCTGTGAAATCTTGCAGGAGATGTTCGGCTGTTTTGTTGGTGCGAACACGTAAGAGTTATGGTATTTCTAATCAAAGTGGCATCTCTTGAGATAATTATTTCAGATATCTGACGCCGGCTGGCACTGCTGGCTTCGCTCCTCACTGGGACGAGATCGACGCATTCCTGCTACAACTTGAAGGAAAAAAGTATTGGAAGGTGTATGCACCGGATTCGAGTGACGATGAATTGCCGTTGGAGCCTAGCGGTGAGAAGTATCTGAACTGCTCGTCTTAGGTACCAGAGATGTTTTAGGTCGTTCAGAAAACTTTAACGACAATGATATGAAGGGTCGCAAGCCAACTTTTGAAGGTTGGATCGAGGCTGGAGATTTGTTGTACATTCCTCGCGGGTTTATTCATCAGGTAGAGGCGTCTCCTAATTAGAACTATTAAGGATACTCTTTTGATTGGATTTATTTGAGAAACC